TCATTGGTCTCACTCTCTTCAATTAATCTGGTGTTAGGCTTGCTGTTAGGCTTTTACTTACAATTAGGCTTGCACTTAACTTTGGGTCAACGCTTAGGCTTCAAGAGTATGTGTGAAAAGCATAAGAAGTGTTTGAAAACCGCAGATGCACTTTATTTTAGAGTAGTAGGCATGAAAATGTCAAAAAGTTTTGCTCACAGTCAGCATATGAGCAGTAAGTGAGTAAATGCAAATGCGTTAAGATCATGAACAATTAGCGGGCAACTCTAGGTAATAAGTGAAAGATTATCAGCGAGCATGACGAACTCAATTATTTCTGCTCAATTTAAGAGCAGTGAATCAGTTGCGCTTTTTTTTAAAATTCCCACTCACTGTTGAACAAGGTACTTACAGAGGAGTGTATAAGACATTCAAGACATTCGAGATCAAACTTGTCGATTCATTCTCAGCACATCTATCAACTACATCTATGGGCGTAAATTACTTGCTAATTGCCGAATTAAGATGAACTAATTAAAAGTTTTTGTCCACTCAAAGTCTGACCTTTCAACCACCAATTACTGATAGTGAACAAAAACTGTAAAGCTGACGACGTGGGCAATGAAGGGAAGTGAGATGAAAATTGAGTTGTCTGAGTAGGTTCCTGCTGACAATGAGGTTTGATGCATTATGCTCGGATTAACCTTTATTATTTGACCTTTTCGAGCTTCACGGCAAAGGCCCTAACGTATTAATATCGTTATGAAATGTATTTTCCTTTGCACTGCATAGGATGTGTGTCTGTGCCGGTTGGTGATTAAATGGTGATTGCGTAACCATAATAATGATGACTGCTAGTCGGCGACATTCATTCAAATCATCGTCATGCTCATCATTGCAGTCAGCATTTGTGACTTACATCTGCAGCCGCATTATATTCATCCTTGAAATATCGCAGCTCGAAAGTGTCGCTACTATTTGCAATCAGGGGTATTCAAGGCCTCTTGAAATTGAATGTTTTGGTTTCTAAATTTCTTGACTGGAATTTTAAAGGTTTTATTTGGGTAATGTTTTGCTATCTTGCAACGGAACGATTCGATCGTGTTTCTTCACGATGTTTTCGTTGACCAAAATTACGGTCAACTTCGGATAAACCATTCGCCAAATGCAATGGTACAATCGCCTTCACACATTCTCGCAACATTTCCATCAAGAGTGAAAGTAAGAAGTTGAGTTATAACCAGTCAGTCATTTTGGTAGGTGCGTTTTCGATAGCTGCATCATAAAGTAGCGATCATGAATGAGATGTCGATCTATGAAATGTTGCTCATGAAATAAATTGTTCTCATATGCAGGTTATCGATATGTACTAAATCAATGCCTCGACATGTGAAAAGATATATTATCAGCAACTTTATTGTCACTCTTGTACTATAATGATTGTCATTTTTCAATTATCTATGTATTTATGTTCACTGAATTGTCATCTCAATAAACAATTGTCATGTAGGAGAAAGCAGATCGGAAGTATCCAAAAACGATTATGCAAATATGGAGTGCACTGAAACTACTTATTTGGAAGCATAGGCATATTTTTGTCAGTTTTAAATGATATCTAGTAGTTATCAATATGACCTTTGCAGACATTTTTAACTGAATAACAAACATAGAACTGCATTAGTTAATCATTTTTGATAAGAATGAATGGTTCAGTTTCAAACCTAAATGTTCAAGTTCGAGATCCTGAGAGGTGATGATCGTTTATGCCTAATTAGCTTCAACTTTCATCCACTTTTCGGTTGATTCCATGGTTGTATTTTTTTTTTCGCTGAGAAGACCAGCTGTTCGTAATTCTTCAGTCTTCATGGGATTGTTTCTCCAAATTTGCGTCACCTCGATAATGATTTGATCACGATTAGGTCATTCACGTTCTTTATATCTGTAATTACAAATGTGTCGTACTGAGTTAATGTCATTAACTTCGTTACGCAATGAATCGCAGCATCCGTGTCAATTTGTAGTTATCCTTTTCAAACAACTTCGATGCATTCAAAGTAGATGCAGCTTACTTCCTCACGATCAGCATTAATTGAAGCGTTTAATTATTTCCGATTGTTTTATGCTTTTTGAACAGGAATGTGGTTTCCCGTGAATTTCCTCCGAAATTATTCGCCATTTATATCAGAATGGTGTCGTCTGGGAAAAATTCTATAAAACTATAGCTTCAACTCGTTTAGGTGCAGTGATGAAGCTGAGATAGATGTATTTGGTGTTTGCATCTTGCTCTTGCTGATAATCTTTGTTGATCATATATATGTTATGTGAAATTTTCAACAGATCTGCACAAGTGCAAACGAGAAATACTTCAGAGTTTGTCGACATCAGACGGTTCGTAGACATCATTGAACCTCACACAAATGTGGATAACATTTCCGTGCATTCGTGAATCATCATCTGCCTGTGTGTCTCTACTGTCAACCCGCAAATTTCGACTTTTTGCTTGTTGTTTCTTCTCGCAAATCGCTATTTGCTCTTGTGAACAAGGTGAGATGCTGGTCTCCTTGCAATAAATTTATTTAACTTACGATACAATCTGATCGTTTCATTGTTGACAGAATACAGACGTGCATTCAAAGGGAGGAGGAAGATGCTAAGAATTTCCCACAAGCAGTTTTTAGCTCATTCAAAAAATCTTGGTCACAGCTGATTCGCGAGGCAACGCCGTGGGTACAGGCCAGCAAATGTGGATGCGTGATACTGCTCCAGATCATCCTTAACCATTTCGAAAGTATTTCTGAGTTGCTGTCAAAGAACTCGAAAAGAGAGAATATTCGATATGTCGCATGAGTGAATGCCATAGAAACAGTATCCGTTATGTATCGCTGCATTCTTTGCGGCTGATTTTGCATGAAAGCAATTAGCATTTGCCTCAATCCAATTTTTTCAATTCATTTCTTCAATTTCAACCATTTTTTAGTGTTACCAAGGTACAGTGTGCATACGCTAGCTTCTTCAAGCAAAACACTGTTCAGTAACGATATTCTCCAACAACAACTGTCAAACGAGCTGAAAGCCAGCACTATGCCAACTGCAACACCAACACCAACATTCAACGTGAATTCGTCTTTTATTTCATCAAATTTTTGAGAAATTCTGCAAAGTCTTCCTCTTATAAATAATTGCCCTGCCGATCCTATTGATTTTGGATGCAAATAGTGGTGGTAAGAGCGAAATTCTGGTTCGATCGGAATATGATCGAATCGACTTTTCAATATCGCGAAATTCGCTGTCCATATTTTGAGATTCCGAAATTCCTCGCATTTTACCGAGCAAACTTCAATTGTTTACCACAGCTGCAAACAAATTAATCAGTCGAAAGAAGCATTTGATTCCAACGATCAATTTTTATGCTACGTAGACAATCGCTCCGCTTTTAGGATGACAGCATTGTGCTAAATCGAATGAAAATACTGACTTTGAGTTGACTTAGGATCCTGGCATCTAACTGCCCGAGATCTAACTTTCACACACACACACACACCTAACATGTGTTTGTTTATCGCTCAATTATTCAACATTCTCTCTTGAAGCTCAATTCAAAACCATCTTGAAACTCTTTTCAGTTGGTTAAGAAGTCAGCCGCTAGCGTGAAGCCACTACCGATCTATGAGTACGTTTGCAGGATCTCCATCCGAAATGACTTCAGACCAATCATTGCATATGGTAATTATTCACTCATCTTGTTCTCTTATCATATCCACATCGGTATCAACGCACGGTGTGATATGATCCTATGAATTAGCATGTGAATTGCATTATTGATATTCAACGATATTCAGGTTCTACTCGTTTCGACGCTTGCAGCAGTGTGATTCAAGCTCTTGATCTATAATAGAACAGTTAGAAAAGAATATTGATGATGGATTAGCTAGCTGAAGTCTCAGGTTCTTAGTGATATTAACATCAAATATGTATTCAGCAAACTACTGACATATGATATTCATTAGTTGTTATCGCAGTAACATGCTTGAGTGAATGAATATTTGTAATGATCACAATACATTTCCTAGAAGTTGCGTTCATTTCAGACAAGAACGGATCGTTGGTGGAAGTGGAACAAGGCTTGTATCGGTCGTTTACCACGACTGCAGTCGAATGCGAGCATCAAACGAATCGTGACTGCCACGGCATTGATCATTCTTTGTGAGTGATTATTACGTTGAATCGTTCCTTAACTCGTCCCTTACCGTCTCGGATCNTGGGCAGTTTTGAACTTATCCGGAAATAGTATTGCTAATTGAAACATCGGTTTCATAACCAAACTCGCCAATTACAGATACTCATCGGAATGCGTTACTGTGTACAATTATCAAAGAGCTTTCGTGAGGTCAATCGGATCCGAAGGCAGTTTTGATGAAGGCTTTATTAAAGTGAGTCAGTCACAAGTCATTTAATTAATCCACTCATCTCTCTCCAGCACCCAAATATGTCTACAATGACAACATAGCTTATTGCATTCAAAACTGGTTACGTGCATATGATCG